CGAGCTTGCAGCCTTGCACAGCTCCAGTGACCGCCGCCACCTTCTTGCTGCTTCCGAGGCCGGGCCAAGGAAATGTCTGATGGTGGGACTCATTAGTTCTCATTTCTGCAAAAACAAAAAAGAAAAAAAAAAAACCCCAAGCAGCAGCAAACGCAAACTAAAATGGAAACTACACAGTTGCCTTTCATCATGGTATGAAATTGATGCATCTTCTTACAGCCAGCACCAATAGCAGTTTCACCATAATTCTCCCAAAAAAGCAATAAAGAGGAAAATGTAAATTAATGATGTGCAGAACTGGCCAAGATGGGAATATAAAATACCATATAAAATCAAAAGGAGAGAATACTCTCACCGGTAAAGATTCAAGGGCACAAGGAGGAGATTTCTGTCTGTTGAGAGCCAAGAAAGAAGGACGTGGGTCGAGGTCTGGAATCTCTGTTGTTTGTTTGTGGGTATTAATCGGGTCCCCAAAGAGGAAGGAGTGAGGCTGTCAGAGCATGACCTAGCTAGGTTCAGATTTCTGAAACAACCCTAAATAGATCATGCTGGCAGCTTCACTTTTTCCCTTGCGGACTTCATGGCCGGCTATATTTCAGCTTCCTTGGTTTCTCCAGAACCCGCAAGAAATTACCACTTCCCCCTCCCACCGTAACTAGAGCCTTGTCCCTGCAGCATTTTACAAATACAAAAACCTCTGGAAGTAGCTTGATGTAGCACGGAATTTTTTTAATATAAAAAGAAAAGGAAGCAAAAAAAAAAAAAAAAAAAAAAACCCTCACTGAGGTAGGAAAAAGAAACGCAAAAATTACAAACTCAACTGTCTAAGCATTCGGCATAAAACAAAACAAAACTCTTTTTTTTTTTCCTGAAAAAGAATGCAATGGGTATTGAGTAGGAACAAGACGAGGAAACCTAATGCATCACGTTAGGGTGGAAAGAATGAAAAGCAAAGACAAGAACAAGAATTTTAAAGCAAGACAGAACGACTGATAGATGCATATGGAATCTTTTTTATTCCAAGCTAGGCATCTAACACAAATGAGAAACACACGCACAGATAGATGGCCGCGTTAATTAAGAGGGCGAAAAAAAGGGGAGAGGAGAACAGATGAAAGGAACGCAAAACTTGGATCCTTATTTATAGGAGCGGTGGCGAGACAGTACAGTACAGTACGCTACATATAAATGAATGATACCGCTACACACACAGACATATATATATACACACACATACATAATTGTGAAGACGTGCATATGCTATAATAACGATAAAGATTGAAGACTACACAGTACACAGGCCTTTGTCTCTCTCACATTCACTTTGACAACGAATTAACTAAAGCCGCGTATTCAGGCCAAAAAAGGCGGCAAGCCAGCAAGCTCGAGCTAAAAGTGCAGCAGACCACCCAGAAGCTAAAGACACTGCTGTATAGCCAGCCTAGGTAGGTTTAATGCAGTAGATAGTACTAAGATTGCATCTCCTACCTAGCTAGTACTATAGCTTTGCATACACGTTGCAGGCGGCGGAAGGATTGAGTAGGGCGGCGAGGCAGGGCCTGAAAGGGCTTAACGACGCATGGTCATGAGGCGGCCGGGTCACAATCAAGTCACAGCCCAAAGATGACTGCAACCAGCACCTAAACTAAAGCTATGAAACATTTGGTGATTAATTTCGTGATTTATCACACTCCTCCCCGCTGTTACTGAATATATGGATGGGATATGTAGATATGGAATATGGAATGGCCGGGCTTGATTACTGGTTAGTGCTGATGCACTGCCACAACAGCAGCAGGGTAGCTGGGTAGGTACTACTATTACTGCATCTGCATGCACAATCGCTCTCTCTCTCTGGCCGGCCCCGGCGCCACATGCAATTGTTGGCTTCGATTTCTCTGGCTTTATATAGCCTACTGTATATAGGAGGACTAGTAGTTACAAATGAGCATATCAATCCTCTCTCCAGCCAGGTACATGATGCATGTTAGTAATGCGATTGTGCCCGCTTATTAGTACTTGTATCGATCCCTCAAACATGCGATGGGGAAGGGGAACTCAATCGAACAATCAAAGAACAGCCAGGTACGCTGGGAGCGGATTATTTCCGAATCAGAAGCCGATTTTACTTGTACACAGCTTCTTCTCTGAATGGGGATAATAAAAAAACAACAATCCGTATGATGGTGATGGGAAGAGACAGCAAATGCGACTATCGACTGACCGGGACTGATGGATGAAAAATCATCGTTAAAATGCACAAAGTATATATAGATGAGTTGAGTTGATTTTTAAATTTATCGACACACATTCGAAACAATTGTCTAGAACGCACTGCTCGATGAGTGAGACCGGAGCTAAGAATATGTATCTTGTACCACTTCAAGAAAGAAAAGTTTCAGTGAGCATAAAGCTTGGATGGATGCGTTAGTTTCCGGAGCATGTCATATTGTCATGTATGAGCTCTTCCATCATATCATATCGCGATGACAAGCAAGAAAGAAGTTAACACGGCGTGCCTGCTCAGCAGCGAGAACGTTCAGCGGAGGCGGTAGGGGCACAGGAGGAGCAGGGCGCTTAAAAGCTTCTCTGCCGTGACCGGTGACCAGCCAGCGCCAGCGCTGGATTAAAGTGTCGTGACTATGATTTATGACACCACGCAGACGGAATCAGAGGCCTAGCATGTTAATATCATATTGGTCATGAAATCGGTCAAAACGTCGTTAATTCCTAAAAAACCAAAATGAGAGGGACAAACAAATTAGTTGGCGCGCAATACTTTGACGCAAAAAAAAAGAAGCTCCATACAAGTTTGTCTCAAAAAAACTTTGGCAGCATTGGATGCATCACACAGTCGATGAATCCCCCGAGGAGGGAAAAAAGATGGGAAAACTAAAAATATTATAGTAATAACAATAATATTTGTGTAATAACAATAATATTTGTGAGTAGCCACATTGAAGAGTATAAGTTCAAAAGTTTGTCTACGTTATAGAAAATGTGTATATTTTTGGAGTTCACTTATAAAAGGCAATTGAAAATTACAATGGATTTGTTTGGATAGAGTATTATTTGAAATAATTACCGTAGCACTTTTTGTGATGTAATGTATGTGAAATAAAAAGATGGTTGGAAATATAAAAAAATAGGTTGAAAAATGTGCTTGTGATGCAAGCGAAATATTATTTGAAAAATATTATGTGCGTGTATGGTATCTAAAATATGTTTAAATCATAGATGCAAATATAAGATTGTGTTTGGATTGCATTTTCCGTCATTTTTCATGGAAAAATTACTGTAGCGATTTGATATATGTGAGGGAAAAAGGTGATAGGGAAATGTGATCACGGAAAACGATAATATTTTCTGACGAAAACCTTCAATCCAAGCAAGGCCTAAAAATTTTTAAAATAAAAGAGATGAACCATCATTTAGTACGGTATCTATCGTGTATAACTCTCATATCGCTTAGAATTGGATTTTGTTTTTTTATATATTTTTTATGTGCGTGTATTATGGGTTAATTATACCAAACCCTTGGGGTTTGATGGAAGAATTAAAAAATAAAAAATAAAACCCTTCCTTATTGTGATCCGATAGGAGATTTGGTACATATCAATTTCATGTTCATTGTCACTTATATAAGGCTTATAACATATGATAGGGAACTGAATACAGGTTATCGGAACTTTGATAACCAGAGAGCAGTCTTTGAGGAGGAAAGTAGGAAATTCCACTTCCAAGTTTTCTTTTTATATAAAAAAAAGAAAAAAGAAACAAATGAAATGAAAATAGTAGTAGAATGAAGTCGAAAAGCGACTAAGTAGTAGTGGGGCCTCGAAGTTGAAGCACCAGCTCAGTTAATTCACAAAAAAACAAACAAATAGTTTTTTTTTTAATTCTATAAACATCCTCATTACAATATTTTTTTACGGCAAAAAAATTAAAAAGTTACAATCCAAACAGTACCTGAGTACAGTACAGCAGGGCGGGTGGAGAAAATGAATGTAATGGACAATGAATACAGGATTGCAGATACTAGTAGTGAGTGTGGTCCTTAATTGATTCTGCTCTAAGAGTAGCCTGTATATCATTAGTTGTTATTCAGAAGGGAGCAGTCTGGAGTCTGGATGCAAAATTATGATGAACTGTGTGGTAGGAGCACTCTAGCAGACTATTCCTTTCCCTTGGGATGCTCGCTCTCCGCAAAGCAAAGCAGGCCAAGATTCACAGATCATGCAGCAGCAGCTGCAGTAATGGCCTAACAGTGAAATGCAACTGCGCCCCGCAATCCATTTTTCTTGCATCGCAACCCCCCAACAAAGGCCTTTGACATGGTGGTCACCACTTGGGTGGTGAGTGGTGTGCGAGGCTTAGGGTTCTGCTCACGTCGAATTTCCCTTTCTCTTCTTCTCTTAAATTATGCTATATTAAATTATAAGATTTATCATTATATGTGACGATTTTAATTGATCGTTTTATATAAAATCTTCGAAGTCCTCTTTTTCCTTCTCTTAGATTAGGCTATATTAAATTATAAAAATTCTATCGTTGCAGGAAAAAAAAAAACGGTAACACACACACACACACTCGCTTTTACGGGAGACTAGAGTTAAACTTGTAGTAGTATCATGGAGGACAGACAAGGTGCAGTGTTTTTCGGAATGCTTCCTTTTGCATCGGGAGTTCGTGGACAGACAAGGTGAAATTTCACATATTTCTGTCCAAACCCATATTTAATATGCTAGTAGTTCGTGGACGAATATGACTACAAGTGCACATATTTCTGTCCACATCAATAATAACCAAGCATGAAACGGTGGCATCGTCGTGGTGTGTATCCTCCAAAACCTCTTACTGTTTTGAGAAGAAACTGCAAGAACTCACAATTCCGAGTATTAGAAATGAAGTTATCATGAACTGTATAAATAGGTATATTTAATTCTTGCATTTCTGCCACCATTTTCATTGCTATATAAGCATCTTTCTGATGGATGAAATTGACAAATGTAGAGGTTTCTGTTTTTCTTTTATCTCGTTTTTCTGAAGAAAATGTCAGAGTTACACTACGGCGCTTCCTAGTGTTCTTATCATAAACATAGACTGAGTTCTTAGAAACCGGGATGTAAATAAGTTCGGTCCGACATAAAAATACAGCAGATGGGAACTTGGATGAGCGGGATTTTGACACTGGCCCAGGCTATCATACCCAGTAGCACATTCATCATCATCATCTGATTTCTGATAACTTCAGTGTGGTTTGAGAGAGTCTCACCAGAAATCTCCACAAGAACAAACTCCGTCCCTGAAATGATGAAATCTGTTGGCGTCCCGTACAATGATTTCTCGTTTAAGGTACTTTGAAGTTAGCTTGGTGAAGTTATGGCAATCACCACAGACCCGAAGATTCTTGGTGATTCGTATCGGGGTACCATATGTTGTGTTGAGTAGCCCATATGATATAGCCAGCCGTTCACTATGTCCAGTTAGTAACTTTACTTTTTCTTCCTCCTCTACATTGTGTAAAACATATTTAGTTTGAGGCACATATCCTCCTCCTTTTACCAATTTTTCAGTGATCTGATCCAAATTTTGCTTAATCTCGTCAGACTCTGGATGAGATCTATCATGGGCAACGAACACGTGGAACTTATTCCCAACCTCTATCCAACTACATGCAGGATCTTTCTTCAACTCTTTTCCTTTCATCTTCGATCTCACTTCCTCCACATCTTCCCATCTCTCTGTCGCAGCATATGCATTGGATACCAGCACATAATTTCCCGGATTCACTGGATCTAGTTCCATAAGTTTACTAGCAGCAATTTCTCTAATTTTTTCGTTTGAGTGAACACGGCAAGCACCGAGGAGAGCACACCAAACAGCGGCTGTAGGCTCCGCTTTCATCATCGTCACAAAATGAAATGCTTCTTCTAGGTAATTTGCACGGGCAAGCATATCAACCATGCAAGTGTAGTGTTCTGGCCATGGCTTCAATTTGTATTCTTCTTGCATTGATTCAAAAACTTTTTTGCCCTCTTCCACCAAAGCGGAATGACTACATGCATAAAGAACAGCTAAGAAAGTAATGTGATCAGGAACTAGATTTTCACTTTCCAACCTCCTAAACAAATCAATGGCCACCTTACCATAACCATGCTTTCCGTATGCACTGATCATGCTCGTCCATATAGGCAAGTCTTTATTCAGGGTACTACTGAAAACCTTATATGAGTCATCCACAATCCCACAGCAAGCATACATGTCCACAAGAGAGCTGGCGACAGGACCTTCAATAATAAACCCATTCCTGAGTAGGAAGCCATGAATCTCTTTTCCTTTCCTCAATGCCGATAAATCTGCAGCAGCAGACAGGATACTCAGTGTTGCAACACAATCTAGTTCAATTTTGTTTTCTTTCATACGAGGTACTAGTTCAAGAGCCTCACTTGCCAATCCATTATCGACATAAGAAGACATCATGCTCGTGAAGGACACAACATTCTTAAATTCGATTAGTTTGAAAACCTTACAAGCATAATTGATGTTTTTGCAGTCCCCATAAACTTTAACAAGCGTATTCTCTGTGACTAGATCATATAGGCCTCTTCTCATGAAATAAGCATGAATTTCTTTCACAAGAGAATGGCACTTTAAATCACTACAAGCAAGGAGAATGCTTCCAATCATTAACATGTCAACCTCCATCTTTTCCACGTTTATTTCTCGAAACAGTTGCAAAGACTTCATGGGAAGATTGTTCCGAGCACAACCAGAAATTGCTGTCGTCCAAGTAACAGAATCTTTATAAGGCATCCTATCAAAAACAAAGTGCATGTAATCTGTCCTGCCGCACTTTGCGTACATGTCCACAAGGGTGTTTCCAACCAGCAAATCATTATCCATTTTGTTTTTCAAAGAAAAAGCATGAATTTGCATTCCATGCGACAGATTTCTCAATCTTCCAGAGGCTGCAAGCATACTTACCAGTGAAATCTGGTCGGGTTTCTGAACCAAAATTTTCATCTCAGAAAAAACACAGAGAGCATCTTCATACAATCCATTCTGTACATAACCTGACAGCATTGAATTCCATGAAATATTATCTTTTTCCTTCATCTCACTGAAAACTCTCGCAGCCTCATCCATACTATTGTTTTTTGCATACATAACAACCAAAGAGTTGGCAACATGTGTCTCAAGATGACGACCTGATTTTAGAACAATAGCATGAATTCCTCTGCCCAATTTCCCAAGTGCAGGCTCTTCACAGGCCTGAAGAACAGGCACAAATGTATAACTGCTAGGAGTTACACCAGCATATAGCATTTCTTCAAATAACCCCAAACCTTCTGTACTCATCCCACTCGCTGCATACGCTGAAATCAAAGAATTCCATGCCACAACATCCTCTCTCACGCTCGTTCTACTGAACAATTGGTATGCTGCAGGGATATCATCACACTTAGAGTACATGCCCACAAGTGAATTAACCACAAAGGCATTGGACAAAAATCCCAATTTGATCGTTAGTCCATGAATTTCACAGCCGCTACACAGATCTTCAACCGCAGCACAAGCCTTGAATAAAGAAGGAAAAGTATGTGCATCGAGAGGAAAATCCAACATCCGCATTTCCTTGTACAATTCCAACGCTCCCAAAGGTCGATCATTTCCAACACAAGCACCAATCATGGCATTCCAAGCAAAAATATTCAACTCAAGCATTTCATCAAACACCTTCCTGGCATCCAACAACGACCCACATTTCCCATACATGAAGACAAGCTTAGTATCTAGAAATACTGCATCAGCAACGGACTTTGATTTTAAAACGTGGCCGTGAATTTGCTGGCCTTGTGACAATGCTTTTTGGGCTGCACAAAGCTCAAGAATTAAGGAGTAGGCCTCATCTGGAGGTTTATAAGAATGGCCTGGGCTTGTCAAGTCGTTGCCAAATGATCTGAAGGCTTCTCTGAGCTTCCCTTCTCGACATATTTCTCTGAGAGAAAAGGTTTTAACGGGGTATTTTACGAAAGGTGGAATCCCGTTAGTTTTGCTGGAAGTGGAATTTATGGTAGAGGTAGGAGGGAAGGGAAGGTGCGGGCTCAATCGCAGGCTCAAAGTAGCCATTACTGCAGGCTCAATTGCATTTGCATGTCATTTGTGCAATTTGGCATGTGAGGATCAGAACTTTGCAATGGTAACTAACCTTCATATAAAATATGTTCATCACCAGCACCAAGGTCCGTTGTCGTCCAGCGGTTAGGATATCTGGCTTTCACCCAGGAGACCCGGGTTCGATTCCCGGCAACGGAAAGTCAGTTTTTGGCTTTTTTTTCTTGAATTGTATTCATTTTGAAAACCAAAGTATTCTTTTAAAAGTGTTTTTTCCTATGAAATAAAATATACTACATCTCTTTTAAAAGTTTGTTTTCTCATGAAATAAAATACTATTACAAGTTTATAATCAAGCAAGAAGGAAAGAATTCACAATTTCAAAAGCGTGATAAAACATTCTTGTTATGAAAGGAGTGAAGGACAATATAAGTAGTTTTTTTTTTGTAAAAATATTAAAATAAATCAAATTTTTATTAGCATAAAAAATCTAGTTTATGATAATAAATCCAGTTTCCTACGTTCAATTACTTGAATTTATCAACAAAGTCATTTTATTATTTTTGCTGATAATTCTAATCAAAATCTATTTTTTGAATCAGAACAAATACTGTAATCAATAATCAAAGATCAAAGTAAGGAGGAAGGGAAAGACATCAAAAAGAAAAACTAAAACGAATGGTTTCTATCCCACATCGGTTTTGGGGGGGTTGGGATTTGGGTAGTTAAGTCCCTGGGAGCAATCCAAGAGTTGTCGGCTTTTGGGTTGACTTCTGGGATTAGGTTTAATTAGTCAAATTTCGTTTCTCGAAAGAAGAAAAACAATGGCAGTAATCTGCCGGCGTCAGCATAAGACAAGAAACTTCCGCTTGTGTCGTCTTTCTCTGGGCTTGTGGGGGGTCTTCACCGCTTAGTAACAGCGGGTCCAATGGACTTGGCCCCTGTCGGAGTTTCTATCCCACATCGGCTTTGGGGGGGTTGGGATTTGAGTAGTTAAGTCCCTGGGAACAATCCAAGAGTTGCCGACTTTTGGGTTGACTTCTGGGATTAGGTTTAATTAGTCAAATTTCATTTCTCGAAAGAAGAATAGAGGGACGAACCAATTGAAAAAGACAAAAAAGGACAGAAATGCTGATTACTTGAAAGTTATCCTATGCGGGGGAATGAACGGATGAACTTAGCTTGCTCACAGATGTAAAGACACCGATTCGTAGAAACTAAAATGGGTTAACGGTAGTTTGAACCCCTAAAGTATCACCGATTAGAGCTATTAACTGTTACACGCAGCTGCTTTGGGTACTGAAATGATTTAGCAGACAAGAAGCGGCTAATCGCGATTTAACAGAAAAACATTTCCATTCCATGCTATTAAAATACAGAATGGGCGGAACCTAAGGCCCGCACTCCATTTTTGTACACGATGTATAAGAATTGTACATTTGATCATATATTTTGAAACAAAAAGGGGGTGACGATAGCCCCCCCTCCTCCATACATGGAAAATGAATTTAAGCCAAAAAGAATACCCACTCTATGAACCGCTTACACTCCACAAAACTTCATTTTCCAGGTAACAAAAAGCTGAATCTTGAACAACAAATCCTCCTGCTATACAACCTCATTGACTCATTTACCCTACTTATGTACAACAGCCTCGGGAAAGTTGATACCTTGGCTCATCCAAAAGTCAAGACCCACCTTCCGCGTGAACCCACCAAGAAGGCAACATATGATACACCCAGCCTCCCGCATGCTCATCTTTTAAGGCACTAGGCAAAGAACGGAGACTATATGCTTCAGAAGTATCATAAGCACCAACAGATTACTTCCCCCATCCCAAAGATCAGTAGTCTCTGTTCTCGTCCAGCACTTGTCTTATTAGTCTGAGGTGGCGCTAAAGTCCCTTCTTTCGAAAATGAAAGAGAACTTGTTCAGGGACAGATATCAAAAGCCGGACATAGTGGTCCTCAACCAAAAAAATATCGTTGAATTCTCATCGTTACCCCTGATTAATTGAAGATTTCAAGCTTTCATCTGGCAGCATCCATGAAACTAAGTGTCCACCAGAGTCCCCGCTCAGTAACTGCTTTAGATCACTTGTAAGGTGAAGAGCAGTGACAGGATGCTTGTGAAACTTCAATACCTTGTGCAGAACCAACCTGTACTCAGGCACTTCATCTCCAAGGTTTAAGCCCCCAGTCAAGTTTCCAGTCATTTTGGTTGGGACTACATCCTCAGAGCAGTGAACCATTTTCCAGACCTTAACAGCCCCACTCTGGTGACCAGAGACATACCAGTTAGCTTCCAGCCAATCAGAGAAGGTACACCCTGTAAGTGATAGTATAAAATCAGATGGGAGTTGTGATGTGTTGACAACTGCAAGGCAGTCACCGTTGATGCTCCAAACAGCAAGTGTAACACCTGCTGCAGTCACAATTTCCCCAGTCAAATCATTTACGTATATTGCAGAAACTGGAGAAGGGAACTCAGGAAGCTGCCTAACAAAAACTAATGAGCTAAGATCCCATAGTATAACAGTACAATCATCTGACCCGCTCACAATCATCATGTAAGGCTGACTGACATGAAGGCTTGTTATTTTGGCTGTGTGAGCACAAAGTGTCCGCTCCGACTGCAGTTGCCTTAGAGCACGTGGCCCATCTTTAACAACACGCCAAACACAAAGCAACCCGTCATCCCCCCCAGTAACCAGAATCTGGCCATCATGGCTAGCACTGGTGCACTGTATCTGGTTGCCTCCATGAAGATTTTCATGAGTTGAGAGAAGCCTATCTTGATCATAGCCCATAAACCTCAAGCTACGATCAGGAAAACCCCAGGCAATGTATTTGGCATATGTTCTGGGTTTCAGCAAAGTATTTGCCCCAGCCACAAGAATCTTGTCACTGAAAGTTACTATCTGAGATATAGAGGATGAGTTCTTACGTATCTCATGAGGAACAAGATGCAGAGAGTGTTTGAGTGGATGAGGAGGTAATTTTCTGTCAGACCGCCGTTTAGGGTGTGGCTTAAGAAATAGTTGTTTAGGAGTCTGGCCAAAGTGATTAATCTGTGCTAAAATCGAGGCTTTCATTGCTGGATCTGTTACTGAGTCAATATCAACGCTGCCTTCGTAGGTATAATGATAGAAGACATTTACTGCTGCTTCAGCAGCCTATCATTGCAAGAAACAAATTTGAGCTAGAAATAGACAAATTAAGTATACTAAGAAAAACAGTGAATAAAATAAAGAAGATAAATCATTAGCATGACAGAATTGTTAACAGCAATATAATAGATATCAGTTTTCTCTTGTCCGTTTAATCGAATGGAAATACAGAACCAAACTGTTATAGCAGTAGAAATAAGTCTTGGATGAACGTGCACCAAGCATCTAATAAAGCAAGGCAGTAGACTGACTTCAGTACATGAAATCAATGAACTAACAAAAGAAGACAACTTCATTGAATTGGGCTTAAGATTCCAGTATTTTTCACTTCTCATCTTGTACCTCTTGTGCAATGCTTAAATGAAAAGAGAGAATAGTGCTAAAAGTGAACAGCTAGGAAACAAGACATCGATATCAGAATAGAGAAAAGAGCTCAGAACCTTGCCCTACCATCTGGGCACTTGACTTAGAAATCAAATGAGGATTCAAGCATATGGTTCACATAGATTAGGCAACAGTTAGAACCTAGCTGTTAAGACGGGTTACAAATGCTAAATGACTACAAGAATATCATATGTCAAATGTTAAAGAGAAAGCAAAGATACATTGTAAAGAGTTAAAATTTACGGAAACACAGAAGTCAAAGTTGCCCACCTTTCCTCTCTGCCTGTACCCAAAGATAAGGTCTATCCAGTGATGCAGATTCTCGGAAACATAGTCAGACTCCAATGCTCCCCTGTGCTTCCTGATGAACTCTCTTACACTGGATTTTGCCCAAGGAGGTAATATGACATCATTAACCTAGCAAACAAGACATGCTCTTAGGACGGCTGTTATCCTGTGGAGAAAAAAGGCAATAGGAAGAAGGAAATTTTTACAAATAAGACAAACCTTTTCCCCTGATTGTTTCTCACCCAAGTCAAGATTGAATCTGTTTTCCAGAAATTCTGGCATATAGAAGAACTCTGGTATCAGTTCCTTGACATCTGATGTATTACCTTTTCCAGCAGCACTTGACCATGTATCCTTTATACTATTGAAAAGACGATCAGCATGATCAAACTGTCCACCCTGCAGCTTCTGGTTCTCAGTACTGAATGGTGGCAGGCGTATAAGGTAAAAGAGCACAATCCCAGCACTAGAATAATGAGAACCATAATGAAATTTGGGAACTTCGGGATCATCCCAGCTTTCATATCTGATGGAGAAAGAAAATTAATAAATAATAAATTTAATCCTGGATCAAAGTGACTCGAGAAATGATATACAAGACAATGCCATGAAAAACTAGAAGGCATTGAGATAGCTTATGAGAGCTAAAAGGCCAACCTTTTCCTAAACTCCTCTTCTCCTTCTGGTGTTTGACACCCCATTGGTTTGTCAAGCCTGCGGAATGTTTTGGGATCTGACAAGTCCAGATCTTCACTCTCATAATCAGCCAAAACCCAGGGAAAAACTGGATATTGTGTCAAATCACTATATCCACGACCAGCTAAAGTGTTTAGATGCATTAGATACTGAAAGTTGCTGATTTCTCCATTTTGCCACCTCTTGGAAAACGATTTGGCCATAACCTTAAAAAGGCGACTGCCTTCATTGCTTTCCTGTTTTGTTGAACCTGAGATTGTTGTGTCCAACCTGTTCACAAAGTTACCAATATTAGGCATCTTGTATCAACTTTTAAGGGCACAGAAAACAAAAAGGAACTCTGTCAGCTGCAGTGAAATAACATAATCTCACAACTGAATGAAGCCTATCCAAACACCAGTTCGAGTAAAAATGGAAATCCAGAAAATTGCTGTAAAAAGATTAATTTTTGAGGAAAAAACATAGTTAG